TGTACTGCCTGCAGTTTGTGTTGATGGTGTTCAATGGTGAAAGGCCAGAGTCCATCCAAGCCACAGGGATGCTGCTTGACTCAGGTATGATTCAGCACACAGATCATGTATGCTGAGATAGGATGTAGATTAATATCATTTACCACAGGGCGTGCTTCAGCGATCACAAACGCACACTTGAGCCTTGCCATAAAAAAATCAAATAGAGCAAGAGAAGCACAGTTTGTGTGATACAGAGGAATCACTTTTAAATGAATTGTCTAAAATGTAAACACCGCAGGACAAAATTTGACACAGAAAATCCAAGACTTATCATTAAAATGTCACACCGATCCAAATCCCCCCAGAGAATACAGTAATACGGTAAAACTGGCAGGAGAATATGTAACTGCATGTCTCCCCAAAAGCCACCATAATAATATAAAAAGCTTATTCTTTTAGTTTAATGTAAGCATTTTTTTTAATATATGATTTTTTTTTACTTATATATATAAAATATATAAAGACGACACTGTAAATAAGCTGCAGAGGTCTAAAACAACATTTTAATGCTAATTTAATTGATGCTTTCAATAATTTCATGTTTATGAATGTTTTTAACAGGAGTGGATGAATCAGTGGTTGTGACGATGAAATTCTCCAGGAAGAGAATGGCCTTGTGTGCCTTTTTAATTGCAGCCCGACTTCCAAATGACGCTGTCATTGCGGGCACTAAGGGTTCCATTAAAGTATGCTATGCTCGTCCTGTACAGGACCATTTGAGTTCATTAAGAAATTACAGGGACATGCAAAGACTGTGCTGACTGATGACTAATTTCACATTTAATTAAACCAATATATTCAGACATAGATCTCACTGTGTTTGATGAATTTGCAAATTGAGGGACTGAAACAAAAGTTTGTTTCCTTTTCACTGTACAGGTTCTTGGCCCCATGCACTGCCCCACCAAACTGCTGGTGAATGACAAGGAAACAGAGTACCCTCTGCCTGAGCCGTGTCTCCCTCTGAATTTTACCAACAGCACAGGGCTGCACTATGAGACAGAAGAAGTGAGGCAATGCCTGCTTAAAGGTAGGTCATGATAAAAGGAAATGTGTGTATTTCTCTCTGAAGAGACAGTCTAAACCACTGCTTCAAAGGAAAGCTGAGTTTGTAAGAAGGACACTGCAGTTTAGAGAATCACTTGCATTCTCAGGGCGACAAATGAAAATGTAGAAGTATACACCAATTGTACTCATCAGATTAGGACTGAATGTAATGAGTGCTTGTCCTTTAGCTCACAGAATATTACAGTACTGTTACTTTTACTTCTAATAATAATTTAAATAATCTTTATATTCCTGCCTTCTCATAAATTACAGTTCATTCTAAATATGTACATAATTTACACTTCTTATAATTTAACATCTGTCCCTAAGCCAGAATTTGGATAAAACTTGTCTTCATTTGCAGGACTTAAGGAGAGTGAACGGATGCCTCTGGCAGATTCTGTCTTGCTGACAGAGATCATGGATGAAATCAGGAAACAAGTGGGAGTTGTCTTCAACCAAGACAGCCAGTGACGCCACTGTCAAGCAGAGCTGTTTCACCTGACCAAATCCTACTAACATGTAACAGAAGGAGTTGCTTGAGGCAGCTGGAATGAGCCGATCAATCAGAGCACCATGTGACAAAGCATGGCAGCTGTGAAGGACTCAGTAAATTTTTGGAATAGGTAAATGTTGGTTGCATTATTAGGCAGTTTGCTCTCCGTATAGTCTTTTTAGCTTCAATATAAACCCATGATAGCTCAAAACATAGTTATCCTACCCCAGATCTACTATGTAAATACCGTGAAATACACTACATGAGAAACATTGCCAAATTTTGTATTACACAGATTAAGCAGAGAGATTGAAAATATGATTTAAACCAGATGAATCGCAACGTAAACAGATAGAGCAACTGCCTTGTGTGTCACCATCCTGTAATGAAGTCCTAGTCCTTTAAAGATAAACTCAGCTGTCACTGTGAGGTGTGTGATTGATGAATCCAATAAAGGGCTGATTGTGAAAGCCATGTTTCATTTCAAATATCATCCGCTGGAGAGAAGAAGAGACTTCGAGTGGCACATTTGAATCAAAGTGTTCTGTCATGTCTGACCCTTGCAGCGGTGTACAAATAGATTCAAAAATAGGTTGCACTGTCTGATTTTCAAGGTTAGGACTTAGAAAGGTTTTTATGAGTCAGC